ATGTCATTGTAATGCGATATCATGATAGGTCACATTCAAGCTCACTCCAGCTTCACGGGTGTTCAATATATATTCAATGTTCAGCAATTTGGCAAACATTCATGCTTGGACGACTTGGACTCCAATACAGCTTTCCCCTCCAACACGTCATATCGTGAAGTGCCACCAGCACATGGTTTATTTAATATGGATGACAGTACGCATACTAGTAGGCCGCCTGGAATTCAACTTTGACATTTTCCGAGTCGGATTTTGGTTAGTACTTACCTAAACTTCCTGTGCAACTTGCGCAGCCTCGTGTCCTCCGATCGGACTCCTGTAGCAGACAAGCACTCGTTTATCTTTTCAACTTACTACCAAGTTCCGTCCATTCCATCTCACACATCCTGTGATATCTTTGTTGCTCAATCGTTTTACCATCACCACTTGAACCCTTTTGACTTCAAACGAAGCTACAGCTTGACATCAATTCCTCAATTAACATTGTTTGTTGTCCTCTCTGAGATAGCTATCACCATCACAATTTCCAGTTACACCATTAAACCAAACTAGTGCTTCCTTGACATATCCTATTCCAATTTCCCATTTTGTGTCACATTCTATCGTCAATATCTGTTGTAAATATATCCTTCCCTCTCCAGCTCTGACATGACTGACAGTTCGTGGCAAGCTTCTAGGAATGGCCGAAGGAACTTGGGAGAAGCTGTCCCAGGTCGCTGTCCTGGGCGCTGAATATGACTCCCCTGAACGCCAGCCCTATCCGAAATGTTTGGAAGGGACCCAAGTGGACCATCTCAAATTCATCCATGGATTATTGGACAAGCGAGAGAAGAGTCAAATCATTTGGCTGCATGGCACGGCAGGCGTCGGAAAGTCTGCTGTGGCATTCACTGTAGCTGAAAGAATGGAAAGTCTGAAAATAACAGAGGAGATGAAAATTGAAACAAGGCTCGTGGGGACATTCTTTTTCTTGCGCAATTCGAAGGAATGCAGCACAACTGGTCATTTCTTTGCGACGCTTGCTTACCAGCTTGCGAGCAATTTCCCCAGCGTCAAGAACGATGTGAACAAAGCTATTCATGAGAATCCTGCCATTCTAGACTCCAGCAAATCTCTTCATGATCAGATGAAGGTATTATTTTGCCAGCCTCTCCGATCTTATCTCCCTCCTTGGGGAAGCTCTTCACGATCCCGATCTTCCTGTGATCCACATTTTACTCACAAGTTGCTTGGAGGAGCATATCCATAAAGCCATTCAAAAAGTGCGCGCACTGGTATACGAGATACCGGTGAATACTTCTGGGGAGGGCATTTCTCGTACCATTTTGTTAGATGGTGAAGATGTCGACAATGACATCTATATCTTCTTACAGCATTCCTTCATGGAGTTGCAAAGTCGCCATCCTGATTTCCCTCAGCTCGCTGCAGATAAACTTACACGGCTGGCGAACCGAGCTGGCAGACATTTCATTGTGGCATCTACAATGATGAAGTTTGTCGACGATGGATACAATGACCCCCTGGATCGCCTTGAGCTCATGCTCGAGCTAACAAATGAACTGTTACCTGGGACCGAAGTGTATGAGCTATACAACCGTATCCTCTCCACCTGTTCGAACCCTAGCCGGGCATACCAGCACTTGTCCATTGTTGCTGCCCTTGCAGACCCTCTGCCGATCTCACAGATCTCGAAGCTCCTTGGTCTTGGTCAAGGCAGTGATGTCGCAACCATACTAGTACAGCTACAATCATTCATGAATATTCCTGCCGACGGCATCCATCCTGTGAATATCTACCACTCATCCGTTCGGGACTATGTTTCACAGTTCTCAAACTGCACCCTCCCTGGATTACAACCCATCACAGCACCACATTCCCTACTCGCTTACTCGTCTTTCCGCTTGATGATCCAAGACATTCCAGAACGTACTGCTCTCATGGATGCGCTCTTAGAATTGAAGTCGCAGAATCAGGCTATGCTACCCCACGACCCCCGAAATTTGCAACAATCATTAGCCTTCATCATTGAACCACCTGAGCCGCTGCAGGTTCTCATGGGCCTGTTATGGCTTTGGGGAGCTCACGGGTTGGGTTTGCGGTCCTGGCTAGGGACTTTGGATGGACATGCGTGGTTGCAGACACAATGTGGGGAAGACTATTTGTGGACACAGAATGGGGAAGACTGGCTGCAGACCTGGAGCGGGGGGGATTGGCTGCAGACCCACATGGGAAACACTTGATTGCACACCGAGAGAGGGCAAGGGTGGCTGCAGAGTGGGCCAGGGTGGCTGTGGACTCAAAGACGGCAACAAGTTGCTGAAGAACCTGACAAGTACATGCCATTGGAGACTTGGAGCGGGAAAGACTCACTGGAGACCATCAATGGACAAGGCTGGCTACGGACCCAGACTGGGCAAGAATGGTTGCAGCAGACTGGGGGAGAGTGGTTGCAGACTCAGACTGGAGGAGAGTGGCTGCAGAGCCGACACGGGGAAGAATGGCTTCAAACCTCGACAGGACAAGTGTAGCTGCAACAGACCCTGAGTGGCCAAGAATGGCTGCAGACCCAGAGGGGTGAAGAGTGGCTTCAGACCCTGAGTGGCTGACAATGGCTGCAGACCCATGATGAGTGGCTGCAAACTGCACCTGGAAGAGAGTGGCTGAAGAGAAATGGAAGAGAGTGGCTGGACACTGGGGATGCGCAACAATGGCTGGGCACTGAGAGTAGGCGAGAGTTTTTGGACACTGAGAGCAGGCAACAATGGCTAGATGCAGATAGGGGGCAAGAGTGGCTGGTGACACCAAATGGGAGGGTGTGGCTGGAGACACCAAGCAGGAGGGTGTGGCTGGAGGCTTCGAGCGGGTATGGCTGGAGACCCTGAGTGGGAGGGTGTGGCTAGAGACACCGGGTGGGAGGGAATGGCTGGAGACAGAGCATGGGAAGCAGTGGCTAGGGACACAGCATGGGAGGCAGTGGCTGAATACACCAAGCGGGAGGATGTGGCTAAGGACACCGGGTGGGAGTGTGTGGTTGGAGACACTGGGCCAGGGGTGGCTGGAGACACCGAGTGGGGGGTTATGGCTGGAAGAGATGCTGAGTGGGAGGGAATGGTCGTATCAAGCAACAAGCAGGTGGGAGTGGCTGGTGACACCGAGCGGGAGGGAGTGGCTGGAGACACTGAGTGGGACAGAGTGGCTGGAGACACAGGATGGGAGGGGGTGGCTGGTGACATTGAGCGGGGGGGAGTGGCTGGTGACATGGAATAGAAGGGAATGGCTGATGACTCCGAGTGGGAGAAAATGGCTGGAGACTCCAAGTGGAAAGGAATGGCTGGAGGCCCCAAGTGGGAAGGAATGGCTGAAGACACAGAGTGGGAGGAAATGGCTGGAGATGCCAAGCTGGAGGGAGTGGCTGGGGACACCAAGCGGGAGGGTGTGGCTGAATACACCAAATGAGAGGGTATGGCTGGTGACACCGAACGCAAGGGAGTGGTTAAATACACCGAATACAAGGGAGTGGCTGACTACACAACATGGGAAGGAGTGGCTAGAGATAACGAGCATGAGGGAGTGGCTGGAGACAACGAGCGGAAGGGAGTGGCTGAAGACAGATGATGGGAGGGAGTGGCTAGTGACACTGAGTGGGAAGGAATGGCTGGTGACACCAAGCGGTGGGAGGGAATGGCTCAAGACACCAAGCAGATGGAACTGGCTGGAGACATTGATCGGGAGGGAGTGGCTGGAGACCCAGAGTGAGCGTGACCGCCTACAGATCCTGAATGAACTACAGACTCCAATCGGGCATGCATGGCTGCACACCTTCCATGGGAGAGAGTGGCTCCTGACCCAGAGTGGGCAAGAGTGGTTATTGAGCCAGAGCACACAAGAGTGGCTCCTCACCCCAGGCGGGCGAGAATGGCTGCATACTCCAGCCGGACAAGAGTGGCTGCGGACCCCAGGTGGGTTGCAGACCGAACATGGCCAAGAATGGCTACGGATGAATAGTGGACAAGAGTGGCTGCTGACACTGAGCGGGCGAGAGTGGCTGCAGACCATGGGTGGACAAGAGTGGCTGCAGACTGAGAGAGGATGAGAGTGGCTACAGACCCCCAATGGTCAAGCATGGCAGTTGACTCCTGCGGCGTCTGTCTGGGTAACAATAGAAGGCTTCTCAAGCATGTTGGAAGCAATCAGCGAGTGCACAATCACCCCACAACTGCCTTTCCCTCCAACTTTCCAAGCAATCCAGGAGTTTAAGAGCTTACCAGACTTCTTGATGTTTCCAGCATTCCTGGCATTAAGGCCCCAGGATCATTCTACCTCTGCATCCTTACAAGATTGTCCAGATATTGAGATAATCCATGCCATGACCGCGTTCACGACAGTCGCAACTGTAAGGCTGAGTATGAGTTCGGCAGGGAACTGCAAACAAAATGAGTTAGAGATTTAGACGTGTCAGCGAGTAACACGAAGATAGTGATAACAAGGCTAGAGGAGAGTTCTTTCGGAGGCGTTTTTCGAACATACTTGGAGCAGGGAATTCTCTGTAGGATTTCGCTGTAGGTATGAGTGTACATGAGTAGTATATATACGTTTTCGAGTACTTGACTAGGCCGGAACAAGAATAGGGAGCATATGGTGAGTTGAGAGATATCGGTGAAGAAACAGGAATCGTGAAGTCTGAGCACAAGGTAAGATAATGAAAGAGTAAGAGAAATGAAAGGAAAGGAATGTATCCACGTAAACTCAGATGCGAAAAGTTGCACTTTTCGCATCAGTGAGTCACGTGGATGATGTCGACCACGTGGTTCGAGCATCTTCTTTTTAGAAGCATGGTCGGTGTGTAGAGAATGGGAATCCTTACACCACCTCCCCACTTTGAATATTGACCGTCCTCGGTCGATCCTCTAACTAAAAAAAAATTGTATCGTACGTTGGATTGGCAAGAAAAGATTAAGAAGAAGGAAGGATAAGAAGAAAATAAAATGAGAGAAACACATCTAGATTTCGTCTTTGGTGGTACCAGCAAGATTTTCAATGTTGATATATTGAGTGACGTCAAGAGAGGTTGGGGAACGAGGGTGGTAGGGTATGAGACGAAAGGCGGCAAACTTGAGCTTGGAGACTGAACCGTTGTAGGGATTCATTTCTGGCTGGGCTTGCAGAGACTGTTTTTACCTTAGTGTTATGTTTGCACTTTTGTAGCTTACATAATCAAGTTATCTTTTCACCAGTTACCAGTATGAGTCTGAGTATTCAGCAAGTTTCTATCATATTTCCTCTTCTCTGAGCCTTGAGCCTGGTCCAGAAACCCTTAGGGTCGAATAGCAGCTAGGTTCTGCAAGACCCAACATTGTTCAGACTCACCATCTGAATTGTTGTACCTTCACCGTCGATTTCTGCAAGACGATAAGAACCTCCCTGCGATCGTGAAACAACGATCATGGGACTGAAATAGCACGGTTTACACTTTGCGTTTGACGCGGCTTCGACTTTCTTATTGAGGATGAGGACTAAAGCGCTGGAAGGAAAGTTGTAGTCGTGGATCGTACTAGCAAAGTGTTTCTTGAAGTTTTTGAGAGATGTGAGGTGACTGTTGACGAGTCGTTTGTGAGCAACTGTAAGGTCCTCGTCTTGTTTTAAGAGTTGGCGGGCGCAGAGACTGATAAGATCCGAGGTTGATATTAGTGCCGAAATGTTAGGGAGCATGAATGTGGCTTCGACGAGGTCAAGGGGAAGCAAAGGTTCTATGCCATGTGTTACGACAAACGGTCGTGTGTGACTAGGATGATCTAAACAGCGACAACCACGACAGTGGTACCGAGTGCTGAGAGTCGTTGGCCTTTACAGACAAGCAAAGGTTGCGTACTCGAACGTAGCTCGTGGTGGTTAACGAGGGGTTACACTGAGATGATAGCGGTTTACAGACAGTGAGAGGCGTCACTGAAGGTACGAGTCGATGTCGAGCAGGTAGCTTTAGCAGGACAAGGAGTTCAAGGGTAAACCTAGTAAGATTAAAGTAAGGAACATCTACTGTTAATCTTCGACCTTATATAAGGCTACTCTTCGTATCTAAGCTCAGCCTAAAGCTGGGTTCTAATCTGCTTATCTACATGAGTCAGAGATAGCATCCATGAGGCGGGCTTCTATCGTAGATAGGATCCATGAGGCATCCTTCTATCAGTACATGAGGCAGCATGAGGCTTGCCTTCTATCGGTACATGAGGCAGCACGAGGCTTGCCTTCTATCTTGATAACATAAATAGGTCTTCTAGACCTATGTCGTCATGTGTCGTCACGTGCGGTCCAGACCGCTTATCGTCTATCATCATCTGTCGTCATCTATCGTCATAGAGCTGGTGAGACTCCGGTATCGTCTATAGCCGTGTGGTGGCAGAGGGCTGTCTGCTGGCAGGGGACTCATGCCATGTTACTGTAACACCATGCGCAAGATAGAATGGGGAGTAGCTGGTGGATTTTCGTGTAGTGACACGATCTGCCCAGAACACGTGCGGCGCGATTTTCGGCCATTGAGTAATATCACTGTTGCATGCCTTAACAAGGGAGTCCCGGATGGTACGATGTGAGCGTTCGACGACTCCATTTGCTTGGGAGTTATACGCTGATATTCGAATGTGATGGATCCTGTACTTCTTTGCCAACCAGTCCACTGCTGCTATGAACGGCGTCCCATTATCTGTCACAATCTCTTCGATCTACACAATATTTCCTCGAATAAGAATGCGCCTAAGGTCCGTGCCATTTCAGTCCTCAACATGCGCCACTCTGGCCAGGCCGAGAGTGAACAACGAGCCTGGACTATGCAATTATATCCGTGCGATGCTGGCATGAACATGGTGTCAGTATATGTCTTCTGAAAGAGAGATGCTGGTATATTGACAGTAGGGGGAAGGACGACTTTCGCAATGGAACGCGTTTGACACTGATGGCAGGTTTTGAGGTACCATTGAAGGTCGTGGTCTAGGGATGGCCACCAAAAGCGGTCCGCTATGGTTCGTCGCGTGGCGTAGAAACCTTTGTGTCCAAGTTTGTCATGGGCTTCGTGCATTATCCGCAGCCGATGTTCTCCGAATACAACTAGCTGATGGCGTCCTGTAGCTTCTTTTCACCATAATCGGTTTCCTTGGACGAAAAACTGCCGGGCGCGTTTCCGTAGACGGTTGTGATCTGACGAGGGAGTGTTTGAGGGGAATGAGAATGTTTCCAAGTACATTCGAATGACTTCTAGTTCTTCATTGTATCGTTTTGATGTGTCGTCCGAAGGGATCTTTATGTCGGTCACGGCTTGCGCCTTTGTGTTCGTGATGACACGCCAATCGTTCGTTGCTTCTCTAAGCTGTTCCTCCTCCACTTCTTTAGCCAACCAAAGTCCGCACCCTACTATCTCCTCTGTCAACTCTTCAATGTTCTCCAAGTCTTCCTCGTCTGAATCTTCCTCCGCTCATGGACGTCGTGACAGCCCGTCTGGTCCAAGATGCTTCGTTCCCGGCACATGCTTGAGGGTGAAATCGAAGGTATGTATTCCTGCTATCCACCTATTCATAGCTGTGTTTGGTTGGATGTCTGGTTTGTTGAGCATACCGCGGATATATTTGGCATCTACTTCGATAGTGAATGTTTTCAATCCTATTAACCAGACTTTTGTGGCTCGTAGGGCTCTGAATAGCCCGTAGAGTTCTATTTTGGCCTGCGAGTAGCGTGATTCACGATCGTTCCAAGTGATGGAGCTGAATCTTGATGGTCGTCGACGACCTTCAGTATCGACTTGCGACAGTATCCATCCGCATGCTATGTGAGACGAATCCACGGCTAATATTACTTCTAGTGGGGAAGAGTAATTGATGGGACGAATTGCAGGAGAGTGAATGACTCCATCTTTCAACAAGTTCATGGCATTTTGCGTGGCTGAGTCCCACATGAAAGGTATGTTGAGATGGGTGAGATTCGTGAGAGGTCAAGCAATACTGGCATAATCTTTGATCCAGTTGCGAACAGTGCCAGTGGTACCTAAGAATGTGCGAACCTCCGTTTTTGATGTACACAGGGCCCAGTGTTGAATATTTGTGACTTTTGAAGTGTCTGGGCTACGGCCTGCGTATGTGCATAACTGTCCGACGACAAGGACTTCGGGCACACACAAGAACAACTTCTTTGCGGAGACAGTGGCGCCGGCATGCTTGAGTCGATGCAGGACGTGATTAGCGTCCACGCAATGCTCCAAAACGAACCTTCTGATTCCTGGATTCTCCTTGAGGACCTCATGTGAGCCGTCAGGTAACTCATATCGAGTGCAGGGACCTAAGACATTGATGTCGTCTTGGAAGTTTGGCACGACATCTATTTTGTCTTGCAGGATGAAGGCCACATCAGTCTGGAATACGGCGGGTGAATCGGTCCATCCTTGAGGGAGAACAGTGAGGCGATAGGTCCCGAGAGGGGTCTGGAACATTGTGATATCGCGGGATTGTTCAGCAAGTGCTCAGTGGTCAAAACCGATGAAGAGATCCATCATAGAATATATGGCACGTCCTGCGCACTGCTCTGCAAAGAGTTTGACATATGGCATTGAGGCAGCGTCCTTCACAGTGACTGAGTTGAGTTGCTGTAAGTCATGGACGATATGAACTGATCCGTTCTTCTTAGCGACACAAAACCAATGGGATTGATAGGATGAATTTGATGGTTCGTAGACATGGGAGGTGATCTTGGACTTGATGAGAGTGATTACTTCATCTCTGATGCCGGGAGGAATAGGTGGCTGGCAATGTGTCCACGGAACGTGCTCGATAGTAGGGATGACAACTGGTGGAAAGTAGTCGTCGCGGAAGCGACCTTTCTCAGTTTCGTCCCAGGCCAAGGCAAGTTCATTGTTGGAGAGGATGTGGGCAGCGAGTTTCTGTTCTTCTGGTAAGAGAAACTTATTGGCAAAAATGCCAAGCTTGTTCATGCGTTCTTGAGTGAGTCGTTTGCCAGGTACAAATGGAGGGGGCGTGGAATGGAGGATAGGGAGTGAAGTGAGAGGATCTTCTGGAAACCTGCGAATGATTCGTGCATGCTCTGGCATCGTGGTGGCGACAGGTCTCACTTTGTTTGCAACTTTCTTGTAGGCGAGGACATGGCGGATTGGGTCAACATCGAAGGCGTCCTTTAAGAGAAGGTTGGCAAGGGTGGAGGCAGATAGGGCTGAGGTTGGTAAAAAACGGTGGTTTGGGAAGGTGAAGGTGGATGGGGCTGGGTTGTTCTTCGAGAGATTCTTGAATTCACATTTGGACTTTGCATTGTTGGTGTTGATCATAAGGTTCTTCCAAGTCTTTGTGAGTGGCTTGGTGTTGCTCGAGGATAGAGGTGGATGAAGCTGGTTTGATGGTGTGATATATGTTGGTTGGGGTGAGGCTGAGAAGACGGCTGCTGTGAGTGCAAGGGATGGGTGTGGCCAAGGATGGGGAATTGTTGCAACTGTTTGAACCTTACTGGGATCCCTGGGGTCGTGTACTGAGACCTGTACACCGTTAGTATCCTCGACCTTTGATAAACATACTAGCCGCTGCCAAGGCCATCCCAGAAGTAAGCGGTAAGGTGCGTTGGGTACTACATATGCGTGTGCCCAGGTTCTAATTCCCTCGACTTCTATTTCCAACATTTCTATGCATCCAGCCATTTCCTGCGACCCTCCGTTTGCCGTCTGCATCCTCATGCGAACTTCTTTGTTGATCGGCGCCTTAGTTTTCTTCCAGATGTCCTCCCGTATGACGACAATTTCGGAACCTTTGTCGAGCAAGCCTAGCTCAGAATGGACGCCGTTAAGCGTGACACAAATCTCTCATAAGGGCGTCGCGTGTTCAATCTGAAGGGGAGGGGCGAGGGCACTTGCTGAGATAGCTGCAGGAACTCGGTGCATACGACAATGTTCTACCGCTTCTTTTCGTAACTCAGGGCTGATGGCGAGGAGGTCAGACACTGTTACGTGGGGTACCATCATATCTAGGATTGTCTTGTAGATGCGGTGCGTGGCATCTGGCGCAGCTGCCTTTGATTCGTAGGAGAAGGCTGGGGGTTTCTTCATTGCTGCGTCGGAAGTTTTAGGGGCAGCTTCGATAAGACGTGATGGGGATGGTTCTTCCTTTGAGTCGGGGGTGACGAGACTTCCTTTGGCCTTTGGTTGTGTGATGGCGCTGACGTCTGCTGGGGTTTCTTCGTTCTCCTCTTCGACTGTAGCTACAATGGTGTGGTTTTCCGCTACTGGAATGCACTGGAGAAAATATGACTCAGATATAAAGGTGGAGGAGGGAATCTCATTAGATGGTTGTGGTGCTGCGTCGTGTCAGGGTTGGTCTACTGGAATAGTGTTGGACCCAGTTGCAGGAGTCGAAGGGGTAGGCATAGCGTATCTTGTGTCAATCACTTGCTGAAATGTTTCATTCCCAAATTGTCGTATACGGGATTTGTCTGGGAAGGCAAAGTACTGGCCGTCTCGAATGATACGTCCCGCCCGTAAGTATTCACCAGCAATGGCGCAGGTATGCATTACGTGGGATCCGCCGCAGAAGAAACATGTCGCGTTTGAATATTGATTAGAGGATGATGGAAGGGGAGGAAGGGGGAGGTACGTTATTTGGGGCTGTGCAGAAACCGAATTGACGAGTTGCCATGACCTAGGAGGGGCCCAGGCTTGTGCTACAACAGGGGCAAGGTATGCGAGTCGTATGTAACAGCTTGAGTAGGCTGCATCCCCAATATTGAGTCCATGCATCTTGCAGGCTAATTCATCTAGCTCATCCATCGTGGACTTAATGGGTGCTGCGGAAGGGGGGGTAAATGCGACTCTTCTCATTTGTACTTCCCGACGTGCGTTTTTCCGCTCGTCTTCTTCATCTGAGTCCCATGCTTGACACGAGGGTCTAGCTTTTGGGGCACGAGCCTCTGTAATCAACTTGATGCGAGATGCGATAGGTTCATTGAGATCTGCGTCAAACGCGTCATCCGAAAGCACGAAACGCCCTGCTTCTACAACTTTTTCGAAGTTAGTAGCTTCATTGTGGGAGTAGTTGGTTTCTGTGTGCTGTAGTCGCTGGGATATGGTGAGTCGTACAGACTTAGGAAGTCCCTGCCAAAAGTATCGGTCTCGTTCGTGTTCTGATATCTTCGAATTAGCTACTAGCCATACAGCTATGGGGCGAAACTGGTGATAGTACAGAAGCAATTCTGTTTCAGTTTCGATATCAGACTCAACCACGTTAAGGATGACTCTTTCTAAGTCATGGAGGGTCCATCGTGTTCCTTTCGCCGCTCCAGAGTACTGTCCAAGGATGTTTGTCTTGAATACTGTAAAGTCCTTGCTCTCATATCCGGTGAGCGTGACCCAGAACCTCTTGGTCTCCAGGTTGACGTAGCGTACTATCATTTTGCATTTGTCAGCGTCCATGAGTCCGTGAGATGTCGCTAGGTCCTCGAACATCTCTATGAACTCGAGCAGTTCCGATGTTTCACCATTGAACGATGGTGCCTTGTTTGATCCGGGGCCAGGCATAGCACCCATACCTTTGTTGGCTGTGGACATAGCTGGTGCGTTTGTCGATGAAATTGTGTTTTGAATAGGAAGGGTGACGGTTGGAACAGAGAGTGTTTTAGACTGATGAGGAATTGTTTGAGAGCTGGCAGTGGGGTATATTGGCTTTAGCGGCAAGGTTTTCTGAGGGAGGAATTCGGGTTTCAGGATAGGAGGGGAAAGGGTAGCTGAGGGTAGCGTTTCATTGACAGGGTTTGCGGGAAGTGTGGGTGTTTTCGGTTCGAATACGGCCCGTCTAAGAATGAACGTGGGTTGAGCAGATATGGCAGGGAAGGGGGATCTCAAGTGCGATGGGAGGCCTATGGTATCGTCATCGGATAGAGAGGATTCTGTTGGACCTTTGGAGGAGTCTATGATGATTCTTTGCTGTTCTGGCTTTGAGCGAGTAGGAGTGACAACAGATGTATCTGAGGATGGTGCGAGCGAGATAGAAGGGGTGGTAGGAGCATTATAAGTGTTGGCGCGATTTCAGCGCTTCTTCAGCGGTATAGTGCTTTTCGACGGAGCCAGCACAGGCAGCGTGTCTTGTTGAAGACGTAGCTGTGTGTTGGGATGATAAGACTTGGTAATGGTGAGAGAGATGGTCTAAAGACCGGGTACTAGAGAGAGAGACTAGAAGATCAGTAATAGATCAACGAATCAATACTCTGGGTGCAAGGGATCGTTCAAGAACAATTCCCTTGCAGTGGGCTCCAAATTTGTAAGGCTGAGTATGAGTTCGGCAGGGAACTGCAAACAAAATGAGTTAGAGATTTAGACGTGTCAGCGAGTAACACGAAGATAGTGATAACAAGGCTAGAGGAGAGTTCTTTCGGAGGCGTTTTTCGAACATACTTGGAGCAGGGAATTCTCTGTAGGATTTCGCTGTAGGTATGAGTGTACATGAGTAGTATATATACGTTTTCGAGTACTTGACTAGGCCAGAACAAGAATAGGGAGCATATGGTGAGTTGAGAGATATCGGTGAAGAAACAGGAATCGTGAAGTCTGAGCACAAGGTAAGATAATGAAAGAGTAAGAGAAATGAAAGGAAAGGAATGTATCCACGTAAACTCAGATGCGAAAAGTTGCACTTTTCGCATCAGTGAGTCACGTGGATGATGTCGACCACGTGGTTCGAGCATCTTCTTTTTAGAAGCATGGTTGGTGTGTAGAGAATGGGAATCCTTACACAACCGAAGCACGGGAGCGGGGTCAATCATCTTCTGACGCTTTGAAGTACGCATGCCAACACTGGGTCTTCCATCTCTCACGACTCGGAGCTCCAAGTCCAATGGATGACAGGCTCAACTGTGTATTTAAACACTTTTGGGATCGCCGCCTCCTCTCCTGGCTCGAAAGGCAGTGGTGCTTGAAGGGCTTGCAGCCCTGCCTCCTTGCGTTATCCGAAGGGCAGAAACTTGCGCAGGTATGTTCTGAATGAATTCGTGTGTTTAGCACCTAACCTGCGCACAAAGGAATGTCTCATTGAAACGACAGGGTCATCTCAGTCCTGGGTTTGAAACTGTTGAAGTTATGCACTGGATGTCTTGCTGTCCTTTTTTGCACGTTCATCACCAAAATTACTGAATCCAGAGATGGTCATATATTACCATGTCGGAGCCACCATACCTGCCATATGTATCTGGCGCAAGGTCTCAATGTAAGGTAATGTTAGGAAACTCAATTCTGACATTGCAACTGCCATATGACTATAGTCTGGCATTAGGCTAGTGTACCAATATATCAAACATTGCTATGTACATAATGCATTTAAATGTTGCTCAGATCCATGAATCATCAGACATTGCAATTGCGTTCAGATATAACAATGTGATGCATTAAATTAATGGTAGTACAAAGCAGTGAGGTACAATTGAGTGTATCGTTCTGAGCTTATGTATGCGAATGTGGGTAATTGAGAATGGACACTAGAACAGGAATATGAGCGATCTATGAGTAGGTCAATAACACCTAAAACAATACCAAAAAAAAACACTCACCCACTCCAACAAGTAGCCACCAAACACGTCTGGTCATTGTCGTAGTCTTGACCTGGTGGGTCTCCGGCCCATAGACATGTGAGAAGTCTGAATGCGGTCAAGTTAACCTTCGCACTGAATGCTCTGCGAAGTGTTAGATTAACGTGAGGTGAATTTCAAAAAACCACTCACTTGTCGGTGTCCTCTGAAAATCTCTGATCGGACAGAAAAAGCATGCTAGAAGGATATTTCAGTCCATGCGAGTAGACGATGCTGGATCCATCTGATGGATGAGATAAGTACATAATATATACATATATGCGCATACACTCACCTTCTTGATGATAATATTGAGCTTGGTATTTGAGGTTCTCTTTGGAGGTACAAGGGCCACGGATGATACTGAGTTCGAACTACATGAGGATACTTACTGATGAGCCTGATGAGGCAATTGAGTTAGAGCGTTTACAACACGCCATGATGATGGTGGGGGAAAGAAAGATAAAATCGAAAGATTAAGGAAAGACAAGCAAAGATTGAGTGTGGCATTATTGACATGTTGTTTGTGTTAATAAACACAGTCATGTGACTGTCATCTACGGAAAGTTCTAAGTTTCAGTTAGTACACTACCAGTCCGTTCATACCACCAATACAAGCACTATGCACAGCTTTGCATTACGCAAGTTGCTCAAGTGCTGATCCTGTCCTCCAGACTTCATTATGATGTTCATCGCTACATGCTTGCCACTAGGTGCTTTGTTTGACAAAGCTTGCACCAGTTCCTTGCAAGCTGTAGAGGTGCGTGTATTGTCCGTGTTTATCACGCACAACTAGGCTCTGATGAACAGCCTCAGCGGTGTAAGGATTGAACATCGCACAGACTATGAGTCTGACTAGGCACTCGAAGCTGTCCACGTGACTTGCCACATCCTCTTCGTATCCATGCCGCTTTCCATTAAACTTACCTTGTGCTCTCAAATATGCAGAATGGCAAACCCATTATTAACCTCTACTTGGATGCAAAGACTTCTTCTGCGGGAAAGTTTGTCTCTGTTCACCTTCAAATTATATGGAACTTTGATAGCAGCATTTCAGGTATATCAGCGTTTTCAGATCACATTTACCACTGCAGCGAGCACAGCTCAGTTTATCGATGCCGTCCAACCTGTTTGTCCTTGTAGATTGAATCCGCAACCGCAGCCTCTGGTCACTCACATCCCTCCTGTAGCTACGACAGGCCTTATTGACAACATTCCCCATCAAGGTACTATACTCACAGCTGTTTCACAAGCTCGGCCATCAATGAGTGGGGCTCCATTCAGACTCGCGCCGACTACACTTCTTTCAGGAAATCCATCATCCGAATCTAATTTACCAGCATTCGCACTATCGACGCCAGTTAATTTTACTCCTGTGGCTCTGAGCAGCAGTTCTATGAAAACGACATCCATGGCTACACCATCTCACGACAGCACCTTTGTTATACCTACAGAAACACCTCGGATAATCTTCTCAAAGTCCACCCAATGCCAAGCACTGCCCGGCTCCATCTACTCTACCAAAGGCTCTTTACTTGATTCTTCCCAACCATCCTCGTCTACTCTCAGTAGTCTGAACATGATGCCCCCGCCTCCACTGCCCTCGAGCATCACATGATCTCTTCAATGAAGTTCAATTGGAAAGTCGACTATCAGAAGTTTGTAATTCAATTCGAGCCCAGCTTGTTGCATCAGTGACTGCATGACACTCCGGCCCTTCACAAGTTATCCCATGCAGAACTAGAATCCATCGTAGCACAAGTCATCGGAGAGGAAGGTTTTGCTCAACTGGTAAGCGTTCTCAGAGTCATCAAATCAATAAACCATAACCCCAGATGACGCTGCTAATCAGATTCCCCAGCTTGCTTCCTTGGACACCATGTGGAGAGTGATGGGTTTTTTTTGGTCAATAATACCTGACAGTCTTGAACGCTACCCATTTATTGTTATCCTTTGGAATGCTGCCTTGTAAAAGTCTGTTCGATCACGGTCGTTACTATCAAGCACCTATCTCATACCTCGCTTCCATTGATGTACCAACAACTTGCAATTCATGAACGCTTTCCACACCGACACTAGTGCTCTGGCGGCAGGCGCCCTTTAGGTACTTTACTTCAGTTTCACCCATTTTTCGTTGTATTACTCTACATAATACATTGGATGTATCTGGATATGTCTGATATCTGGCTGACCGCTACTCTACTGGATGACTTGTGTCTGACAGATGGTATGTTTGATGTCATTGTATCGATACAATATTTCAAATGTCGGATATCACAGGTATGTGTAATTGGCGGCGTCAGAAAATTCAATATATCATGTGATCTCTGAATTCGATAATTTTGGTGATGTTGAAGTTTTTCTTTCACATCGCTTGTGTATTTTTAGAATTTGGAATGTTTGTTGCGTATAGCGTCACGTACCCTGAAATTCTCAGTCTTTCAATACCTTTACAACACTGCTGAATATAGGTTCCAAATCGTTGTCTTTGTCGCCGAGTCTACTCATCCAACATCTTGAGAACAACGTCGAGTCTGGCACTGTAATTTACAGGCTGATGAGTACTCAGTACTCAGTACTAAAGACCCGCAATTTCAAGTTGGCATACAAAGAACAAGACTCAGACACTGTCCATAGCTAGTAGTTCAAACTCATCGCACGGCTGAAAGGGCGAGGCTTAACTGGTAGTTATTGAGGCGTATCATTTCCCTCTCTCCCTCGCATCTTTTCGTTCTTTTTGCAATCCATCGCTGAACGTGTTTGGTTGGTAGGTGCCGCTTCATATCATGTCTGTTGATTCCAAAGTTGTATGCGGACATCGGATTCGAACCGGGG